TCATAAAGGAGAAAGTACACATAATCGATCATAAATTTCTCCTGAACAGTTGTAACTTCTCCCTTATAAATTATAATTTTACCACAAAATAAAAAATAAATGGCAGCATAGTACGGTAGAGTTTCCCTGCTTAATATATATATATAGCAAAAATTCCAGGCGCTGTCTGTTCAGGTAAATGAAAAAGTCAATATATCTCGTCTTCGCAGAAACATTCAAGTGTTGCCTAAATTACTTAACAATCAAATCAAGATCGATATTGAGCACGCCTATAAAAAAGTGACCAAAAAAAAAAACATAAACGAACAATTATATAAGATACAAATAATTTACATGATTCAACTAATAATCTACTTTCACAACGCCAAAAATCAAAGAGTTTTATTATTAAATAAGAAAAGAGTACAAGAACAATTGTTTCACCTCACAAATACTTATTCAAACAAAAGAATATCACTATAATATCTTATCTCTAGCAAAATCCTCGCATTCAAATGATTCTAAAATGACTAATGTTATAGAAATTTAAAAAAATTAATTTAATTTGTTGTTATAATGATGTGATAAGGGATATCATTATAATGATTAGTCATTATAATGATGTTATAATGACTAATGTAATATGAAAAACATGATAGTTGAGAAGACAAAGTTTAAAAAAAAAAAGATCATAGTTTAAGGGGTCAAAGTGTAATTTTTCCATAGATTAATTTCAAGCTTCGATCATACAAAGCTTTTTACCAAACACATAAGATATGATTTAACAAAATAATTCCCAAATCACGTGGATTTGGTAAAAAGCTTCTATGATACAAATTTGAAAATGGGTTAAGGTTTCAATTCGACAATATCCATCTGACTCAGTCGGCCGCCCCTCAGACCAAGAAATTTCAACAATGGAAACTTCAGTCGCCCCTTAAAGCTTAAACAAAGGAATCTTTGCATATTAGTACTAGCAGAGTACCATAAATAGCCGATGTTTACATATGTTTCTGCACACAAAAACCAAATAACAAAGAGTCTTGAAGATGATGATTAGCCCAAGGGCTTCATTGCTTTCACTTAGCTTCGTTTTTCTCTTGTCAATCTCACCATCATCAGCTTCATCAGCTGATACCACTACTCAAGGTTTTCTTCAGTGTCTCTCTACCAAGATAGATAACTGCACCCAGGTTGTTTACACACCTGCAAACCCTTCCTACTTGTCCATTTTGCTGTTTTCCATTCAAAACCTAAGATTCTCTACACCAAGCACTCCAAAACCTTTGGCCATAATTACACCATTGCACGAGTCTCATGTTCAAGCAGCAATATATTGCTGTCGAACACATAATATAGAGATAAGAGTTCGTAGTGGTGGACATGATTATGAAGGTTTTTCTTATGTTTCGAAGGTACCATTTGTCATCCTTGATCTATTTAACTTGCAATCAGTCAGCGTTAATGTTGAAGAAAAAACGGCGTGGGTTCAAGCTGGTGCAACTCTAGGTGAGCTTTATTACAATATTCTGAACAAGAGCAGAACACTTGCCTTTCCAGCAGGTAGTTCCCCTTCCATTGGTGTCGGTGGCCATATTAGTGGGGGAGGATATGGTGTACTCCTACGTAAATTTGGTCTTGCTGTTGATCATGTTATTGATGCACGAATAGTTGATGTCAATGGTAAAATTCTTGATAGAAAATCAATGGGGGAAGACGTCTTCTGGGCTATAAGAGGAGGTGGAGGTGCTAGTTTTGGTGTCATTTTGGCATGGAAACTAAACTTAGTTACCGTTCCAGAGATTGTGACTTTTTGCAGGCTAAATAGAACATTGGAAAACAACGCAACCAAGCTTGTGCATAAATGGCAAACTATAGCCGACAAGGTCGATGAAAATCTTTTTATGAGAGTCTTCCTTAGAGTTGAAAATTCTGGTCAAGTTGGAGTCAAAACAGTAGACGCTTTGTTCACTACATCGTTCCTTGGTGGCATTGATGGACTACTTTCTTTGATGGGAGAAGTGTTTCCAGAGTTAGGTTTAGCGAGAGAAAACTGCCAAGAAGTGAGATGGATTGACGCATTCCTCTTTTACGAAGGTATAGTTTCCAACTCACTTGATGTATTGTTGAACAGGACTTTCGTCTATAAAGGAAACTTTAAAGTAAAATCAGATTATGTGAAAACACCCCTTTCTAAAAGTGCACTTGAAGGACTATGGGAAAAGTTGAAGGAAGAAGAAGTTGGCGTTCCTTTTATGGAGTTGAGTCCTTATGGTGGAAAAATGAGCGAAATTTCAGAATCTGCAACCCCTTTCCCCCACAGAGCCGGAAACATATACCAAATTGAATATCGATTGCTTTGGACAGAAGGAGGGGAAAGGCATATGAATTGGCTCCGAATGCTTTACAAGTACATGGCTCCCTATGTTTCAAAAATCCGAGAGAAGCCTATATCAATTATAGGGATATTGATATCGGAGTAAATGATGACAAGACGAGTTATGCACGAGCAAGCATTTGGGGTAAGAAATACTTCAAGAACAATTTCAATAGATTGGTGCATGTGAAGAGCTTAGTTGATCCCAATAATTTCTTCAAAAATGCGCAGAGTATTCCATCTGTCATCTAGATAATTGATAATTTCAAGATGAAGGAGACTATATGGTAATTGAGAATCATTTGTAATTTGATAAAATTCAATCATCTACTGTTATATTCATTTTGGCCTTACTGGTAGGTTTCTATTGAATCCTATAGCTAGCCTCCCATAAGGCCAAGTGAATTTAATAGTGGGATATTGAACTTGATTAGAATTTAAAATATTTTTATATTTTGAATAAGTTGTAATGCAAATCATGTTTTGAATAAATTGTACTCTCTTTTATTATGTGATCTAGTTGTGGGATTAAGAATTACCATACAACGTCATTATCTTTTTTTGGAGAGGGGAGAGAGCAGTGTTGAATACATGAACTATATAAGCATGAGTTGGAGCAATGTTGTCCAGAAAAAAAAAAAGAAAAAAGGAAGAAGAAAAGGAGCACAAGCATGGTTTAAGACTGAATACCTCTCTTGAGCTGTGTTATAACATATATATGCAAGAATGTGCAGCCATACATCTATTCTGCTTACTACTTTTTGCTTGTACACTCATGTTCACTTGAAAACACATAATATCCATAAAAATTGAAATTAAGATAGTTCGTTTTCTAATCTCCAAGAACCTAAAATGATTGAAATTACACCATATTACATGGTACATAAATATAGCATACAATATATATATATATATATATATATATATGAGAGGAACCATAATAGCTTGAATCCACAGTCCCTTCCATTATTTGTAAATATAGTGAAAATAATTATGATCACATTTTATTATCGTCCAATTACTACAAAATACGAAAGACAATTAGGTTAAAAAAAAATGTATTTCATTTGTCCATCTTATACATATTAGGAGACAAAATTATTAATCTAGCACTATCACCATCTTAATCACTATTTACTCACCCACCCCCTTTCATGTCTTTCACTATTTACATGTGGATATTGTTATTAGATAAATTAAATTGACTTACACAATGTTAGGGCTTAAAAAGCCACCGTACTCATCTTCCAAGGCTTGGGGAAGATCAAAGTGGAAGAGAGTTACAAAGGGCTCTATGCACATTTATAATTTTCATATTTTTATAATTTTCTTTTGGCTGTAGCTAATTTAATGGCTAACAACCAAGGCAGAGTTAGGAATTTTGTTTAAAATGAACATTTTAAACAAAATACTCTATTTTATTTTCTCTTAACCAATCACACTATATAATAAATTTATATTTATTCTATCATATTTGATACATGAAGTCTTTTTAACGTAAAAAAAGTAAAAAAAAATGAATATACAAAAAAAATGACTAATTATCACAATTGTAAAAAAGTAGAACTAATTATCATTTTTGTAATTTAAAAATATCAATTATTCACTAACAATTCATTAAAAATGATGTTTCAAAAATTATCATTAAGATATTAGCATAATAAAATTACTAAACTAAAATTTAAGTGCTAAACATAATCAATTGTCACATAATAAAGACTATAATCAACGCTCAAATAGAAATATAGATGATTTCTCATAGAAAAAATAAATGTCAAATGAATGTCACTTGCAAGAACTTTTATTTGCAAAAATTCATAAAAAATAAAAATAAGGACATCTGGAAAAAGCCTTAATACAATAAAAAATGAAACAATTAAAATAAAAAATTATAGGGTAGGCACAAGTATAAAATATATGTATAATTTTTAGAACAAAAAAATATAAATATAAGTATATGTATACAATATTTTTTAAAAAATTGAGGGTGGGCACCTCGCCCCTGTGTAGCTCCACCTATGCCAGCACCATTCTATTATAATCAATGGCTGCAAATAGTATCGATCTATCGTAGGGATTATGTTCCATTCTAATTTATGTCGTTTGTTTTACTTAGAGAAATAAGATTTATAACTACGATTTAATTGAAATTACACTAATTTACTTAACCAGGCCTGATTTTTGCGAGTATGCGCAACTTTGCTTTTGGGAATTTGGTGATCGCGTCAAAAATTGGATAACGTTGACCGAGCCATATAATTACAGTGTTGGCGGGTATGTAACTGGCAAATTCCACCCGGGCGGAGCGCTACTGAACCTGAGCATATTAAAGGTCTTCATTTTCCCTCCTCTCGTTGTTCTCCAAGGCATGATCATGAGCAAACTTGCAACGATGGCGATCCAGGCACGGAGCCATATTAGGTGACACACTACCAACTCCTTGCTCACGCAGCAGTTGTCACATTATATAAGACCAAATTTCGGGTTCTTATTTAAGCATCATACCTTAAACTTTTTTGATTAATCTTTATGACGCTCCTAAACTAAATATCATATAAGAAAATCTTAGCCTAGATCATTTAATCTAGGGGGAGTGTAGGTAAAATCATTCTGAGTACAATTAGTTTTCTTAAAACCCCCATGCATGATTTATCAAGATGTGTCACAATGGTGGGGGCCTCTTGATAAAGACAACGATAAGGATGTTGCAGCTGCATTCCGAGCCCAAGATTTTAGGTTTGGATGGTAAGTGCGTACGTGTTTTAATTAATTATAATCCATCGATCTATGACATGGGTGGCCTCAATTCCTCGTGGTTATATACGTTGTGTCTATCTTAATCCATCAAAGAAAGAAAAGTCGTATATAAGTAGTGCACAAGACTTCCCGACTATGAATAGATCGTTTTGAGAGATATGTAACACTTAGTTTTTGTTCTTTCATTTGTATTTTAGGTTTATGGAGTCACTAACAACAGGTGATTATCCAGAAACCATGAAGAACCTAGTTGGTTCTCGTCTTCCGAGGTTTTCACCAGACCAGTCCAAGTTGGTAAAGGGACCATATGGTTTCTAGGATTGAACTACTATACTGCTACTTAGGCATTCAATGTTGCACCTAATCCTGATAAGAGAACTTATAGTTAGTCCACAGATTTTTTTTTTTTTTTAAACTTTTACTATATAAGAAGTATCATTAGACCAAAAATCCTCAAATTGACTTTAAAGGTAAGTTGAAAATTTATTTTACTTCTCATCAATTACAAGTTTCTTTTTGTAATTCGGATACTGAATTGAATTGATTATGAATTTCTCTTTTTTGCTAGCGGAGCAGAATGGTATACCCATTGGTCCAAAGGTAAGGCCTTAACATTTTAACTTTTTCTCGAGAACATAAAGAGCAACAAATTCAATGCACATAATTCTCGGTATTGTAAATCTTAAAAAAAAAAGAAGGTGAAATATTCTTGTATTACATTGTTATATGTTTTGGTTCTCATAGTTTTTCATCCTTTAACATTGCAGGGTGGTTCAGATTGGCTCAATGTTTATCCTGAAGGAATTTCTAAGCTTCTTCTCTATATAAAGAAGACGTACAATAAGTATGATACTCTTCCACCTATTTACATCACCGAGAATGGTAATAACGAACTTTTTAGCAGCATTTCATGCCAATTTTGTCATTTAAAAGCAAAATAAAAAATTTAAGTTTGATTATTATATGTTCAATTTGAGAAACAAACCTCCCCCTTGTTTCACAGGTTTTGATGAAAAAGATAACTCTAGCTTAACTCTCTCGGAAGCTCGTGTTGATCAAATGAGGATAGACTACCACAATGAACATCTTTTTTAACTTCAGCAAAGCAATGAAGTAAGTTTACAAAAGACACACACATACACATACTTGTCTGAAGGGGCTAGCCCTCAGAATTACACGTGTTTAAACATTAAGTGAGCTCACGTGAGATTGACAAGATGGATTATATGACGAAGAAGTCATCCACCTGATCTTATGATCTGACCCGAACTGATCAGTGAATTCGACAAACAAAGAAAAGAGGTCTGCTCAATTTATCGGGCTCATGAATCTCTTCAGCTATGCAAGGAAAGTGCTCGGCTTGTACCAAGCCTAGATCTCCAGAATGCACGGTTTGTGTCAAGCTAAGTTTCCAAACAGTTCGACAAAAGTTAATTGAGCTCGCCATTCGAAATGCCCGAGCAGTTCAAAACGATAAAAGGAAAGTTAAATATTCGCCTAAAATCCAGGCAATCAGATAAACGAAATCAAAGAGATTGAAGATATCAAGAGAAATTGTTGGAGAAGTATCAGTTACTTCTCAAACTCAACTATTGAATTAAAGGAAGGTGTGCCACCTTGAATCTAAAATCGTGGAAACCCTAAGGGGAAAATGACATAAAAAAAAAGCAGAAGAGACCAAGGTGAAAGGTACACTGAATTCTCCTTATCTTGGTGCAATTCTCTCTGTTCCATTACTGACTTAAGCATCAGAGTGCCTTCAATCGAAGCACTTCGATCTTGGGCAGTTTGTTCATTTTTACAGAAAAGAGATTTGGAGATTGTTCAATATTCTTTTTCAGAAATCACATCGCAAATTCACCATTAGAGGTATCTCCGATTTTTTGCCTCTACATTTTTGGCGCCGTCTGTGGGAAATCAATTCTCAACTTTCGGAACAAAAAGTTACGATGTTAAGACTAAGGAGCGCAATTGGATCACCCGTATGTAGTTTTGCCTTGGAAAATTCTGATCCTGCGCCTCTTCCTTCTAATAGCAACGCAATGTTACATGCAGTCAGAAGTCCCTCCAGAATCCACGAGGATGACGAAATATCCTCTGCGAGTTTCAAGCCGTCAAAAAATCAGAACCACCAAATCGAGGATCATGGTAAATCCCTCCGTACCGAGGAGGACAACCACTCCTTGGCAAAGTTGGTCCAGTCCTTATAGGATCGACTTGATGCCCATGATAAGTTGTTCAAGAAATCCTACGCCAGGGAGAAAGATCTGATCAAAGAAAACGAAGAATTAAGAGCCAAGTTGAAAAAGATAACCAGAAGGGAAAAGCGGGCGAGAGAGGATCGGCATCAAAGCCCGGGAAGGAAGCCTAGCAAAATTAGGATTGCTGATGAAGAAGTGTACCAACAGAAGAAGCCTCAGATCTAGGAGGAGGACACTTGGAAGCAGTATATCAACGAAGAGCTCAACAATCGTTTGAAGAGACCTGAGTAGAGGTCGGCTAGGGATCAAGCCAGAAGAGCAATAGGAGAGTACGGAGATGGATTGGAGTTATCCCCATTTACTGCATGGGTCGAAAAGGCAAGGATCCCGAGCAAGTTCACCATTCCGAACTTCAAGCTGTACGACGGAAAAACCGACCCAGCCTCACATATTAGACACTTCCGACAACTCATGACCATTCATCGAAGAAACGAGCTCTTGCTTTGCACTATTTTCCCTAGCAGTCTTGCGGAGTCAGTGATGAAATGGTTTGACAGCCTACCAAAGGGAACAATTGATGGGTAGTCTCAATTGGCCGAGCTGTTCACGGCTTGGTTCATCACCAGCAGTAAACAGCCAAAGGACGTTGGGGTTCTACTAACATTGAAAAAAAGGAATAACAAAAGCTTACGCGAGTATGCCCATCGCTGTTGGGAAACTATGAATGAAGTTGAAGGGTGCAATCCAGAGATTACAGTTGCGTCTTTCAACTCGGATTACCAAAAGAAAACCCTCTATACCAGTCCTTCACGAGAAGACCTGCTACCGACCTGGAAGAATTTATGGCAAGGATTGAAAGTACGCCAATGTTGATGATGACTTACCCAGGGAGGTGGTTAAGGAACATCCGAGCATAAGACAGTTCGGCAGGGACAAGCAAACTGAGCCGAACAGAGAAGAGGGAAGGAAGTTTGAGAAATAAGGATACCCCCAAAAGTCCCCTTTTCTTAGGAAAAATACACTGTTTAAAGAACCGATATACAATGTGTTGAATCAGATCAAGGGAAAGTCGTTCTTCAAGTGGCCAAACAAACTAATGGGCGATCCCTCCAAAAGAATTCCAAACTTTAGGTGTTCCTATCATAGGGATTTTGGCCACATGACTGAGAACTGCCGATCTCTCAAGCAACATTTGGAGGAGCTGGTCCAGGCTGGACAACTGGCAGAATTTGTTGAAAGTAGGCAAAAAATTGAAAAGGGAAGAGCCGAGTAGAAAGGGGACCAAAACACACCGGTTGGAGTAATTGATGTGATACATGCTGCCACCAACCTTCAAATGTCCACAAACAACTCTACTCGGGCTTACATTCAGAAAGCAGTCAAGGAAAGAGAAGTATACGAGCTGAGAATGACCCCGGAAGTCACCAGTAAAAGAATCAAGATAGAGGAGAGAGCTAAAGCGATTTGTTTCACCGAGCAGAACTTGGTCGGTGTACACCAGCCGCACAATGATGCCCTAGTCATCATGCTTTGGATTACAAATTTTGACGTAAGAAGGGTCCTGATCGACCTAGGGAGCTCATCAGAGATCATGTATTTGGATCTATTTGAAAAGCTCGGTCTCAAGAAGGAGGACCTCAAGCCCTCAAATACGCCACTTATTGGTTTTAGTGGTAAAACAGTTCTTCCTAAGGGGAAGTTCATTTTGCCTGTAAAAACGGGACCAGTGTGCGTCATGACCGAGTTCCTGGTAGTGGATACAGTCTCAGCTTACAACGCAATAATGGGACGCACTTGGCTGCACGAGATGAAGACAGTACCATCAACTTACCATTAAATACTAAGGTTCCCATCGTCTAATGGAATAGTCAATATCCGAGGAGACCAGGTCTACTCCAGAACTTGCTTGTTGGCTTCTGTCAAACCCAAAGATAAGGTAGAGTGCAGAGAAAACAGCTCTCTGGAGGGACACGATAAATAGCAATCAACATTTGACAGCTCGGTCAACACTGAGGACCAAGCTGTCAAAAGAAGCCCTAAAGTACCTTTAGGCAAAGAAAAGGAGGCGACAGAACGAACAGTAGAAAACTTGACTAGAGTACCTCTAGACAAGGATGGTGATCTAGAAAAATATTTTTTGTTAGGAACAACTCTTAACGCCGAATAGAAAGCGGAGCTGGTCGCTATACTACAAGAATATGCCGATGTGTTTGCATGGAATACCACTGACATGCTCGACGTATCACCCGAAGTGACGTGTCATCATTTGAATGTCGATCCAAGTTTCAAACCAGTCAAGCAAAAACTCAAAAGATCGGCGATACAGCATCAAGAGGCAGTAAAATAGGAAGTGACGCGCTTGCTGGAGTCTCAAACCATTAAGGAAGTGAAATACCTGACTTGACTATCAAACACTGCTGTGGTAAAGAAGAAAAATAGAAAGTGGAGAGTCTGTGTTGACTTCATCGACCTAAATAAAGCATGTCCAAAAGACAGTTTCCCTCTGTCGAAGATAGATCAGTTGGTAGATGCAACAGCCGAGCACGAGCAGTTGAGTTTCTTGGACGCTTACAGGGGATATCATCAAATCCCCTTGCCGAGGAAGATCAAGAAAAGATTGCCTTCATAACATCATAAAGAACGTACTGTTACAGGGTAAATGCCCTTCGAATTGAAGAATGCTAGAGCGACATATCAAAGGTTAGTAACCAAAATGTTTTCACATATGATTGGTAGTACTGTAGAAGCTTACATTGACGATATGGTAGTTAAAAGTCAAAAGGCCACAAATCATTGTGCCGACCTAAGGCAGACATTCAACGTTCTACGAAAATACAAGATGAAGTTAAATGCATCTAAGTATGCTTTCGGGGTCGGGTCGAGAAAATTCCTGGAATTTCTGGTTACTCACCGTGGAATAGAAGTAAACCCCAACCAGGTAAAGGCTTTAGCAGAACTACAGTCACCTCGGACGGTGAAGGAGGTGCAGAGATTGATAGGAATGACAGCAGAACTCGGGAGATTCATATCCAGAGCGTCTGATAAGTGCAGACCCTTCTTTCAATTAATCAGAGGGAAGAGGGGAGACTCTAGAGTCAAGAATGTGAGAAAGTGTTTGAGAAATTGAAAGCATATTTGGCATCCCCACCGATTTTATCAACTCTCACTCCCGAGGAAGACCTTTACCTCTATCTGGCGGTATCGGAGCACGCTGTTAGTGGGACATTGATGAGGAACGACGAGGGAAAGCTGAAACCCATTTACTATGTGAGCAAGATGCTCTTAGATGCAGAACCAAGATACACGCCATTGGAGAAACTAGCCCTAGCACTCATTAGCTCGGCTAGGAAACTCAGACACTACTTCCAAGCCCATCCGATAACGGTGCTTACCGACCAGCCACTGAAATCACTCTTTCAAAAAGTCGACCTATCTGGACGCGTTGCTAAATGGGCGGTGGAGCTAGGTGAATTTGATGTTCGGTTCAAACCAAAAAAGACAATAAAGGGTCAGGTGGTGGCGAATTTTATAGCAAAATTCCAGCCTAAGGATAGCACGGTTGAGAACAGAGAAGCTGATGGCAACCAAGAACCAGGGTTCAATGGTGAATGGGTACTTTCTGTTGATGGATCTTCAAATCACAAAGGTGCTAGCATAGGTATCACTCTTGTGAGCCTGGATGGGTGTACATTGAAAAAAGCTATCAAGCTCGGCTTCCAGGCCTCAAACAACGAGGCTAAGTACGAAGTCTTGATTGCAAGTATCAGGATGGCAGTAGAGCTTGGAATACTAAAACTCCAGATATTCTCTGACTCACAACTAGTGGTGAATTAGATAATAGGGGAGTATGAGGCTAAGGATGAAAGAATGGTAGCTTATCAGGTCGTTGCCGAG